TATCTAGAATAAGCATATATTTTAAAGTTTTAATTCCTTCCCGTTTCTAAGAAAAAAATCAAAGGACTAAATTTTGAAATATCTTAATGAAAATAAATGCATTCCTCAACAGCACTATTATTAATATGTTCCTTAAATTTAAGCTCTTAATGTCTTGTTAATGATTTTTTAAAATTCGCTGAAATTAGTGACTAAAACGCCTCGTTGATGGCTATCTTCTGGTGTAAACTGGTTTAAATCACTGCAAGAAACGAATGATGACTGAGAGTGTACGATGCGATAGTTACAGATGCGTTAGTTACAGATGCGTTACACCAGAAAGCAGCACTTATCGAGGCGTTTTAGCCACTAATTTAAACGAATTTTAAAAAATAATTAACAAGAGATTAAGAGCTTAAATTTGGGGATTATATTAAGAATAGTACTGTTGGAATGCATTTATTTTAATTATATTTCAAAATTTAAAGACCTCCGATTTTTTTCTTGGAAACTGGAAAGAATTAAAACTTTAAAATATATGCATATTCTAGATATTATTGCCTAATTTATATTGCCAAAATTTTAATTACTTTTTGAAATATGCTTCTCCGAAAATTATAAGGGGTACTGTAATCACCTTAATAAGAAAATCTAAAATGATAAGCAAAGTTAACCTTGTAATGAATGCCAAAAAAAGCTTATTATTATCAAGCGAAATAATATGATTTTTTTTTAAATATTATGACACTATCTTACTATAGTCCATGTCTGTAATTACCAAAAGGTCCCAATCGATAATTAATTGACACTACAATTATTTGATAATCCATTAAATATTTAGGATTGTAATATTCAATGGTTCCAGATTCAAATAAAAATTGTCCACCGTGTATCCAAAATAGCACTGGAAGTAAATATTTCTTATTCTGAATTGGGTACTGGAAAACAAAATATAAATTAGATTCGAAATAAATAAATAATAAATGGTTGGTAATGTGTGTAGAAGAAAGTTCAGATATATAATATTTTTGAAAATTCAAAAAGTTTATCTTTAATGGAAAAAAGGTTAAACAACTAACGTATGTTTTATAATTCATAAATGTAAATATTCAAATGATTTTCACAACCCCTGTACTACTTTTAGTTAGTCTTTAGAGTAGATAGATGTATTATTAGAAAACAATGAATGTCTGCTAAAATAATAATTAAGAACAACAAAATATGATTAGATAATTAAATATTTACAGCGAAAATGTTTTATTAACATTAAATATTTTTATACGAAATAAATTAAAATGAGAAAAGTCGGTTGAGATCCGAAAAACTGTCTAGGTACACGCTAACTTGTTCGCAATTCAAAAAGTTATATACATGCGAAACAGGGTTGCCAATCGTACGGTAATTACCGTACATGTACGGTAATTTCGATTAATGTACGGTATACGGTCCAAAATCATTACCGTACATAAAAGTACGGTATTTACATAAAAAGTACGGTAAACGTACGGTATTTTCAACAGAATTAGCAAAGACTTTGAGTTGTGCATGGACCGACTCCATCAAATTACTTAATAATAATAATACTCTCCCTAATTCACCCCCTTACGAGTGAATTTTAACCCCAAAAGCTGAGCTTGTGCGGGGAAAGGGACGGCTATTATTATTATTATTATTATTATTATTTGCCGTGGCGCTCCGGGGCGACTTAAAGATGATTGATGGTGCCATTTGACTTACAGGTGAGGAAAACCCGGAAAACCTCACCCACCATCATCGAGACGGTAATGTATGGCGATTTTTATAATCTGCATGTCATATCAACAGAAATTGAATTTCTATTAATAATGACAATGACATTGTCCAATATAAAAATGCCATTTTAATCTTTTTACAACACATGTTCTTCAAAATCACCTGGTCTGCACAAAAATATAAGCTGAGGCCTTTTTTTAGAAGCTAGGTAGAAGGACCAGAGGATGATTAAAATAATATGATGAGGACCTTTTTTTAGAAACCCGACAAAACGATTTACACAATATGGTTTTTTTTTAGATAACAAAAGTGTAGGGTACGGGAGGCCATGTACGGTAATTTGAATTGCGCGGTACGGTAAATGTAATTTGAAAAGTTGGCAACCCTGATGCGAAACGTCTTGACAGAGTAGGTGAGCTGTTTGCAGGCCATTGGTGTTTACGCCGGTCGGCGTAGCTAGGTATGGATGGAAATTTTACAAGAAGTTGTTGTTTCGTTTTCTTGTTGTCACGGCATTATTACTATTTGAAATTTGCTTCTAAAGTTTATAAAATACTACTGCTAGCCACGGCGTAAATGAAAACAAATAAGACGCATTAACACAAACACCTCCCACCATAGCAATATAACGTTTTCGCGTGTATATAATTTTTTGATTTGTGTACACTTTAGCGTGTACCTAGCAACAGCGAAAACTGAAATGCAATTTTGGAAATATGAAAAGTCCCTAATTCCCCCTACGAAATTATGAAAAATACACACCATGGGTCGAACCTGGAACCTTCGTACTCTAGCCGTCCATGCTCTTACCAGTTGAGCTATTGGAGTTATCAGAGCTTTCGGATCTCGAAACTATGTTCATCAATAGCTCAATTAGTAAGAGCATGGATAAACTACACAGTCCAAAGGATCCAGAATCAAGCCCTGGTCGATGTACTCATTTTTTAAGGTTTATTTATTTTCATATTTCCAAAAATTACACTTAAATATTTTTTGATTAACAATTATACAGGGATTTCATTTCAAAACTAGCCTCCCAAAATAACTTAAAATATCTTTAAAACAAAAAACAAAAAACACATTAATTTATATTTACACACATTTTACAAGTATCTGTAACCGTGCAGTTTCATCCCCTAAGCGGTGGTGAATATCACTTCTAAAATTTTAAATAGAAAGAAAGGGGTATCATGTGATAGCTCTTCTTAAAGGTCTCTTTTTTCCAATCTTTTGACACATTATTTTTTTAAATCGGATTAATTTTTCACCATTGTATTTACATTATTAATATTTTATTTGCGTAAGAATTACATTGTACTTAAATAAGATGTTCAAAATGTCCGCCATTGTTGGCAAGACAATGATAAAGTCGCAGCCTGAATTCATCCCGCACTTTTTGAAGCGTCTCTGGTGTAATCCGCTCACACTCCTCCACTATTCTACGTCTAAGTTCAGGAATCTCGCGAGGTTGAGTTTACCATAAAAAAAAGTCAAGGGGCGTTAGGTCGGGTGATATCGCTGGTCATTCTATAGCGCCCCTTCTTCCGATCCATTTATCTGGAAATGTTTCATTAAGCCAATTTCGTACAGGCAATGCATAATGTGTCCTGTTGAAAAAATAGGTTTTCTTCGTCTAGTAACAAATTTCCATCTTGATCTATTTGGTTTTCTAAGGATTCGGTTATAAGAGGATCTATCAGATTTTCTAATAAGTTCAAATACAATTCCCCAGTTAAATTTTCCTCCATGAAAATAGGACCAATAATTTTATTACCAAGAATTCCGGCCCATACGTTGATTTTCTGAGGATATTGGCTGTGCTCTTCCCGAAAAACATATGGATTTGTATTGTTCCAGTACCTACAATTATGTTTATTGACAAATCCATTTAAAAAGAAACCTGCCTCGTCAGTAAAACAAATATTTTTAATAAAATTATGGTCTTCATTTGCCCTTTGAGTCATTAATTCGCAAAATTCTAATCTTCTGTCATAATCATCCTCAGCAAGCTGTTGTAAAAGCTGTATTTTGTAAGAAAAGAATTTATTTATCCGTAACGTTTTATGCACAGAGCCAACGGAAATATTTGTTAATCTGGAGACTTTTGGTATTGCTGTTTGAGGTTCCATAGCAAAATGACCTAAAATTTCAACTTGTGCAGCTTCAGTTAAAACTCTACGACTCCTTACAGTTTTATTGCACACACTTCCAGTTTCTTGAAATGTATGAACTAAATCCAACACATACTGATGCCCAACATTTTTATCGGGATGTCTCTGATTAAAAACACGAGCAGTTCTGCGTGCACAGCGTTGTTCTTTACCATAAATAAAGATTATTTCAATTATTTCTTGTAAAGAATAAACCATTGTCAAAATTAAATTGTCAGTACACAACGAAACCAATAATCTACTAATAATAAATTGTTTTAATTTACGGTCAAAAATATCTTACGCAAAAAACATTTAAGGCTTTTTGCTAACCTGTTTATCTCAGTATTTATACTCATGCATGTTAATTTAATATTTTTAATTTTTTCCGGTTTCTAGGTTATAACTTGGTGAAAAATGAATCCGATTTAAAAAAATAATGTGTCAAAAGATTGGAAAAAAAAGACCTTTAAGAAGAGCTATCACATGATACCCCTTTCTATTTAAAATTTTAGAAGTGATATTTACCACCGCTTAGGGAATGAAACTGCACGGTTACAGATACTTGTAAAATGTGTCCCCCCGTAAATATAAATTAACGTACTTTTTTGTTTTTTGTTGTTATTTTGGGTGGCTAGTTTTGAAATGAAATCCCTGTATAAACGTTTTGAATACCCTATAGTTGACAGGTCTGGTTTTGCTCTATTGGAAAAATTCAGTGAGATTTGCTCCGTAATTAAACTGATCTAACTGGGAAACTACGAGTATAATATTCAATAAAAAGTTATGAGTAGGTGTATACGGTGAGTGTGCGTAAAGAGATTTACATAAATCTAATAAGGTCAGATAATTAAATATTTAATATATTTTTATAACTTAAAATTGCATGCTGATAAATGCCGAGATTCGACTGGTTGACCGGCCGGTGGCCTTTTCCGCAGTGTGATAAGATAAGCAGGTAAATAAGAAAGGAATACATCTAATTAAACAAGGTCAGGTCAGACGTAATATGTTTTTGATACACCAAAACGTAAACTGGACATCGAAACTGTTAAGTAAAAGAAAAAAGGAAACAAAAACGGCGCGATATAACAAAAAAGAAATATAAAAGAGAAAATAATGGAACGTATTTTAGAAGAAATAAAAAGCAACTTAGACAGTGCAAAAAAAAGAAACATAAGAATAGAAGGAAAGCTAGATTATCTTGAAAAAGACTTAATAGAAATCAAAAGCGAAAATCAAGAGATTAAAATTGAAAATAAACATCTTAGGTTCGATCTAAATGAACAAGAAGGAAGAATTATAGAACTAGAAAGGAAAACTAGGAAAAATAAGGTAATAATTTTTGGAATTGAGGAAACTGATAAGGAGGATATGTTAGTTATAAAAAATATAACGAAAGAAGTGATGGTGAAACTCGCAGTGGAACTCAATGAAAAAGAGGACATAGCTGAATAGCTGAAATAAGAATCGGAAATAAAATTGAACACAAAGTAAGGCCAATGTTAGTGGAATTCAGGGATTGTCATAAAAAAAGAGATATAAGCTAAAAAGTACACATATATTTATAGATGAAGATTATCCAAAAGAAATTCAAGGATAGTGAAAAATACTAAAAAAGCATATAAAGGAAGCTAGAGAGAATGGACTTAAAGCAAAAAACACAAATAAGATATATACAGTAGAAAATTTAGGTCTAACAAAGAACCAATGGAAAAAGAAAAAGCTGGAAGAACATTCAGCAAAAGATCACAAGATAAGGAGGCAGAACAGTATTAAATGATATACAAGATAAAAAATAGGAAATAAGGCGGATACTCTAAAAAAACTAGCAGACAATATGGAAAACCCAAGGACAGGAAATGAAGGAAATGACTTTGTAAAGAATTGGACAAGAAACAAAAACAAAGAAATAGAAAAATACAAGGAAAAGAAAAATAGAAGAAAAAGAAGTGAATTGAGAATAAGTACCTGGAATATCAGAACAATATCAGAACAATGTTAGAACCTGGAAAAATGCAAGGAATACGAAAATAATTCATAGGTGTTGCAGCAATATGAAAATAAGATGGAAAGGCAAAGGAACAATCTAGAAAAAAGGATTTACGTTACATTCTTATGAGAACGAAAAACAGGGAGAGCATGTGGTAGGATTTATGATTACAGGCAATCTACAAGAAAAAATAATAGAATTTAAACTACCTACCTATGGAAAAAATTAAACCAGAGGAGAAAGAGGCTTTCAGCGATAAAGTAGAAAAAGAAATAGAATAAATGCCAAAGAAAGATATAATGATAGTTCTTGAAGATTTTAATGCAAAAATAGGCAAAGACGATCATATAGAGTAAGTAGCAGGGAAATACACTATACACGAAAAAAGAAACGACAACAGACAGAGGTTACGTAATCTCGCAGGATAAACAAATAACATAAGCCCTACAGAATTTAAATATTCCAAAATGCATAAAGTGACTTGGATATGACCTGATGAAGAAACATACAACCAAATTGTACGTACTTATCACAAAAAGAAAATATTCGACAATAGAAGATGAAAGAACATTTAAAGGAGAATGTGCAGATTTAGATTATTACATGGTCACTACTACCTTAAAAGAAAAAGTGAAAACAGCTAAGAAACGATATACAATGCATGATAAATGGTTTAAATTTAGAATAAACTTTAGTGAAGTAAACAATGAAAAAGTAAAAGATAAATATGCAGAGAAAGTAAAATCAATATTAGGCAATAAACGTGACGAAAATGAAATAGAAGCTGAATGGAAAATCATTAGAGAAAGCAGCAGAAGAAAATATTGGGGTTGCACAGAAAAAGTAAGAAAATAATATTACAATGAAAAATGTAGTGAAGCAACAACAAAAAAAGTACAAACAAGAATCAAGTGACTGAGAACAAATTAACTAGAAAATAAAATGGCCTATCAAGAACTGAGAAAACAAACCAAAAAACTGATAAGAAAAAGTAAAAGGGGATGAATAGACAATTAAATAAAACTAATCGAATGAGAAGGAAGTAGGAAAATTAAAAAAGTCTTTTACAAGAAAACAAGAAAATTAAAGAACAGAACAAAATCTACAAAGGCAAAACTAAGGGAATAAAAAATAAAAAAGGAGAAGTGATACTGAAAGATGAAAATAGAGAATATAAGCAGGTGTGGACAGATTACTTTAAAGATCTATTAATCGATCTGAAAATGGAAGAATCTGATATGATAGAGGAAGAGGAAATAGAAGAAAGGGTTATAATTGTTGATCCAATAAAAGAAGAGATAGAAAAGGTCATTGGGAAAAATGCAAACGGAAAATTACTAGGAAAAGATGGAATTAACATCGAACTCATTAAATATGGAGGCAACGAAATGAAAGAAAAACTATTATCTCTAGTTCAGAAAATATGGAAAGAGGAAAAATGCTGAGTGAGTATGAAAAAGGAGAGGTGATAACAATCTACAAAAAAGGTGACCAACAGATATGTTAAAATTACAGAGGAATAACAATTAAAATGGTAATAGGATAATACCAATACGGATTCATACTGGGGAAATCAACCATAGATACAATCCATGTAATAAAGCAAATAATAGAAAAGGCGTTTGAACACAAAATAGAAGTTGAAATGCTTTTAATTGACTTTAAACTAGCCTTTGACTCAATAAAAAGAACAAAACTGCAACTGGCCATACAAAAATTAGAAATACCAATAAAGTTAAGGCGGTTAATAACAATGAGGATACGAGAAACACCAAAAAAAGGAGCAACAGAAGAATTCATTATTAATAAAGGAGTAAAGCAGGAAGATTCGCTATCAGCCATTCTGTTTATTTTCTCACTAAAGAGAATGTAACAAGGAAAATTAATAAAGAGACACTGAGAACGGGGATAGGATAAGTCATTGCATATGCAAATGACATTAAAAGGTAACCGTCTTGCTGATTCACTTACCAAAAAGACAGCCAACCAAATACTTTTTGGACCTGGTCCTTTTATTGGATTAACATCGGTATAGTGACAGGCCTAATTATGGAACATTCCCTTGTGAAACTGGGTGAAAGATGGGTTTATACAAGAAGCTGCAAACTTGCCAGGGAGCTTTTAAGTTATCCTAATAACACTTCAGCGAACAAATACTTGACTATGACTAGAGAGAATCTGCGCCTGATCACAGGCATTCTGACTAGATATTTCTAACTGCAGAAGCATCTCAATATCATTGGGCTGTTAGAATCTGTACTCTGCAGGGGGTACGAACAAGAAGATGAGACCATTGAGTATATCCTCTATGAACGCTCGACGCTTTCATTTATTAGGATATTTGTGTTTGTCGAAAATTGACTAGCCGTTATGAGAGAAGCACCTTTTGCCAATGTTGTCAACTACATTAAATATGTAGGCTGGCTCACAAGGTAGGAGGTGCCTATCTTCTTTGAAGGTTGAACAATGGGCCTAGTGAGGCCTAAATGCCGTGGGTTAACCCACTCCACACATTACAGATACAGAGAAACATAGTGATAATTTCAAAAACAAGAAAAATCATGGAAAACATCTTACACGAAATTGTAAAAGAAGGAAAAATTACAGAACTAGAGCTCAACCAAGAAGAAACAAAAATCATGAGATAGGATAATAAAGCAGCATCAAAAAGTATTAAAATAGGAAAATCTGAATTCGAAGAAGTGTAAAAATTAAATACTTGGGAATCACAATAGCTAAAACTGGAGACTGGAAACTGAAAATATCAGAAAAAATAGTCACTACAAATAAAGCCTTTCACGCAAATAAAAATAAAAAATTACTTAAAAGCAAATTACTCACAAAAATAAAAAAATTAAAATATACGACACAATAATCGGTCCAATATTACTATACGCAGCAGAAACAATGAGTATGATAAGAAAAAGATCTAAAAATTATGGAAAGAAAAATGATGAGAAAAATATTAGGACCAGTTAAAATCACAGAAGAAGAAGAATGCAGAATTAGAACAAATGATGAAATTAAATAAGAACTAGAAGAAGACATAATAACAAAAATAAAACAATCCAGAGTTAGATGGTTGGGACACGTTTGGAGAGCAGGAAGTGGAACATTGGTACATTCAATGTTACAGTGATACCTCGGAGGTAGAAGAAGACGTGAAAAACCCAGATCAGGATGGTTAAAAAGAGTGAAAGAAGATTAACGCCGATATGGAGTAAATAACTGGCAAGAAAAAGTACAGAATAGGGAAAATGAAGGGACATTGCAAAGAAGAGTATTATCTAAAATAATTGGATTGATATACCCAAAATATGGATCTAGAGAGCGAACAGCGACTTAGCCCCAGTAGGGGTATTTTTGGCCACATTTTATATATAAACAGCGTCCATGTTTTGCCAATTGTATCGTTACTCCCACTCGTATTTAGAGATTGCATAATTTTTATGTTGACTTCAAAACAAATAGTTTTATAAATGATTAACTGCAGATGTGGCAAGAGACGGTACTACATCGAATAAATATTTAAATCGAAGGCTGTTTTCTACAAAATCCCTTGTGCTCGAATGCAGATGAAGCTACTTTTCTTCAGTAAGTTCCGACATGCGTGATTTACCATTGCCTATTTTAGATTTTATTTATTATAATATTTAGAACTCGTATTATCAAATATGAAATTCTACTTTAAAATATTTTTTTGTACATAAGGGCAATGGATATTTTGATTTAAAAGTGTCCCGATTGTATTCCTTAAGTTAAATACAAAATTAGTAAAACCTTATAGAGATTGAGACTCTCACGAGCTTACTCGTAGCATAAAAGAAACGAGACACGACTTGATTTTTAACAAAAGAACAAAAGACCAATAAACAAGTATCGAGAGTGAATTTTTAGTATTGTGAAGCATACATGTAACTTAGGCCAAACCACGTAGATGATCTTCAAATGGCTAGTTCATGTTTTTAAGAACCATTATGTGTTACCTTTTTAGGATTTGCAATACCCTTTACCCCTTACCTCTGTCCAAGTAAAAATAATTGGCCCCTTTATCCCTTACGCCACCCATTATCAAAGAAAATCAAAACTGCAAGTTTAAAGGCATTTTCCTTCTTGAGTTATGGTGTCGGTGCACAAACGTAAAGACGTGTATATTTTTTGCATTTTCATATTTAAAATGATTGGAAATGTGATAAAAAATGTTAAACAGTAAGGGCAAAAAAATTCATCGATATTGAAGCCCCCATAGGTACGGAGCCTCAGTAATATATTTTTGTAAGATTTTAAAAATTAAATAGCAAATAGTTTTTTGAAAATTTCTTACCTCTGGAACGTAAACATTTAAATATAGGCAATCCTCAGTTATTTTAATTTTTTTTGGAACAGTACCTTGTTGCATACAAATTTTTGTATTTTTTGTTGTGTTCAAAATTCCTGACCAGTTTTCAGGATCTACTGGTTCCTA